TGGGACCAGGGGGAACAGCACCGGTGGGTGTGGAGGGGGTGCCGCAGGGCTGGAAGGTAGGTGCTGGCCCCGGCAGCCTGGACAGGGCCTGGCTTCCCCTCTGCACCACCAAGTGCCCTGTGGCTCAGGGGTGCGGAGGAGCCCACGGGTGGGGAGCACCCCCAGCACCCCCTCCTCACAGGCCTGGCCGCAGAGGGGAGGCTCTGGCCGGTGTGAGTGGGCCCTCTGCTGGACATGTCCAGTGTGGCCTCAACAGCCAGGGCAGCTCACTCCCATCCTGGCGTCTAGGAATCCTCTACCTCAGAGGGGCTCCCGCTCCCCCACCAACTCTTCTGCCCTTCTGGGTGAATTGGACACACGAGGATGAAGCAGAAATGGCCTCCCACTCCTAAAATAGGGAAGCTCTCACCTTTGGGAATCTAAGGGGCTCCCATATTTTATAGGGAGACAAGGACCTCCCTGTCCTCAACCGGACATTTCCCCCAAGGAGGTCTGTTGGAGGCGCCCCCAGCACCTCAGGGCTTGCCCCTGACTGCGCTCCTGTTCCCATAGCTGTGGAATTGGGGTGTGAATCCCCCTGGAAGAGAACTCAGTTGGTTGCGTGGGTGTCTGATTGGTTCACCTGAAGGAGGTTTCTCGGGTCACCCCAGCCTCCCTTGGACCCACCCTGAGCCATGCCCATCCTAGCCCACCCTGCCATGGAGATGCCATGCACAATTCTGGCACTCCTGCCTCCTTGGTGCCCCCAGTGCTCATGCCCAAGCCTGTGCCCAACCCCCTGAAGTTGGGGCAGGGAGCTCTGGCTCTGCTAGAAGCACAGGGCACGCTGTCTCTGTAGATCATGGCCCAGCTGCAACTGGAGACTGTGAGCTCACCCCTTGTCCTAGCACGCCTTTGCCAAGTTCCAGGCTGTCCTCTGCGCATAGGTGAAGGCTGAGGACGCCAGCCTGGGCACTGAGAATGGAGGAGAGGGGCAAGCCCATGAGTAACTCAGCCCCCCACCCAACCTCCTCTAAAGGGACTAGGGAGCTTTTTGTTTCCTGTGGGAATATACCCACGTGTGGCCTTGGGAGTTTCCAAAGGATGGGGGGAGTGTCATAGGCAACAGCACGTCAGATCGTTTGACCACAGAACTGCCCACCTTTTGTTAAAACCACAGGCCATCTTGAATACTTTTTGGCATACACTTTCCCAAAGAGACTCCATGTCCCCATTTCACAGAGGGACACACCAAAGAGACTAAGGATGTTTGCAAGGCTACTCAGGCCTGGGTCTCCCAGAGAGGGTGGGAAAGGCAGGCCCTGCCCTGCAGGGGGAAAGGGGGGCAGCCCCTGCACCCAGGAGGGCTTCCTCGGAAAGGTGACACGTGGTGGTGTTGGGGGGGCAAGAAGGAGCCAGGAGATCTCCAAAGCCTTGGAACCGTCCAGACCTTTTGAGGTGCCTCCTTGCCTGATATTTATAGTGGTGCCCAGGAGCGCAGAAATAATTACAGCTCAGTTCCTGCCTTCCTAACAAGGCCTTTCTCAGATTCAGGGCGAACGGGATATTTTTTTCCTTGGTTTTTTTTAAGTAGTGAATATTAGCACTGGATTGACAGCCCTTCCCAGTGCACAGCCTCCCTTCACCCCAGAAGCGGGGGCAGCAGAGCCCCAGGCCCCCGGGCTTCCCCCACCTGCCACTCGGGAGGCACCAGGGGCTCTGGAGGGCTGTGAGGGGCCCCGGGGACCTGAAGAATGTTGTGCCCCACTGTGTAGGCACTGGAGGTCCGAGGTGAGGAGGACAAGCATGGCACAGACTCAGAAACAATTACAGCAGACGTGTTCTGTGCTGTTGTGGCGCTCCCGGGAGCACCACTGGAGGAGCACAAGCCCCTCCTCTTCTTCCTCCCCCAGTCCATGGAGTAGAGATGGTCCCGACGCCCCAAGCAGTCAGGACCCCGACTCGAGGGGTTTTTTGCAGCAGCTTTGCCCAGCCTTCTCAGGACCCAGGCTGCTAAGCCCCACTGGCTACTGTGGCCGCCTCAGCATCCGGATCGGCCTTGGGGTGGGGGTGGGTGTGGGGGCAGGGAGAGCCGCACTCATCCCTGCCGGGTGCCCTTCCAAGCACTGGGGTGATGCTGTGCAACCCAGCCAGCAGGTTTCCTGCCCTCCTGACCCTCAACTCTTGAGAGGAAGACCCAATGGGCTACAGTGTTTGGCTATTCAGTGGCCTAACCCCCCAAAGACACCCCCTCCGCGTGGACAGAGGCCTCTCTAAATTTGTCAGTTAGTAATTGGCTCGAAGTGGAAGTCACAAGCCCATGGCACAGCACAAGAGGTGGTGGGCACACAGCCCCTGTCCTGAGAAATAAGCCAGACACACACGTTGTTCAAATCTTTCTTCTGGAGGTTTTTTTTTTAATTCTGTTTTGCTGTTCTCAGTCTCTCTGGAGCCCGGGTGTGATTAGCTGACTGATGGAGGCAGGTGTCTAGACATGCTCCCAGGGCCTGACACTCTCTGGAGGTGAGGCTTGAAGCCAGGTGGCTGGGCTGAAAGGTCCCACAGATGACCAGGGGCAAGGATGCTGGAAGCCATACCAACACCAAGCCTGGCATTGTTGGGGCCAATGACTGAGCTCAGGGGTCCCTCTAGGAAAGCTTCCCCGACCCCACCCCCCTGTCTAAGCTCACCCCAGATCTGAGCTCCCACTATCCTGGGCCATCATAGGTCTCAACACAGTAGGCTGCAGTCTTGGTGTGTTGGCTTGCTTTCCCCACCAGACGGTGCACTCACTCCAGAGCAGAGCACTTGGTTTCTATAGCTCCAGCACCTGGTGCGGTATCTGGCTGCACGTAGTGGGTTCTCGGTAAGGAAAAGCAGGAGAGTCAACTCAAAGGGTGTCTTCTGTGGGTTGAACAATGTTTAGGACACCCTCAAATCCTCTTATAAGAGGGATAAAGCCTCCATCTCAGCAGATACTTGGTAACAACGGCAAATTAACGAGTGAATGATTCACACGGAGCGTGGACTTAGAGCCCAGGGCTAGAGGTGAATGCTACACAGCTGCCCCAGATTCCCAAATGTCCTCTGCGGAAGAAGCAGCCAGGGCGGCGACAGCAGAAGGGAGGGAAGGCTTCTAAAACAGCAGGACTGGGGAGGCAGGCGGCCCCCAGGGCCGCCCCTGTTCTTGGAGCCAGGACCACTCTGTGGTGCCACCCTCCACAGGACGGCCCTCTCCCCTCTCAAATGCTACCCCCAGCCATGCGTTCCAACCCCCAGATGTCCCAGACCTCAGCGCAGGGCCACCCCACCACTGTCGCAGGCCATCGGGGTGCCTCTTCTGGGAGATGAGTTAATAACTGTTCACAGCCCAAAGGCAGGGGACTGCCTCTGCAATTCCATAGCCAAGCGTGCCACCCCTGAGGGGATCACAGAGAGGGGCTCCCGAAAAGGGTCAGCAAGTGTAGCGACCTGCCGCAGGACCAGCTCTCCCCACTGTAGTCTCTCCCTTGACCCTTGTCCCTTCTGCCATCTGCCTCCTTCCAGACATTGCACCCCCTTTCCTTCTAAGGAAGATGAACTGCAGGCTTTGAGAGACATGAGGTGCCTGACAGAGGGGCGTCCAAGGGACACACACCTGCCTGCCTTGTTCAAACTGAGCTTGTCCCCAAACAGTGCTTGGAGGAAGCCCATCCTCTACCCACCCCTCTGATCCTCCTTGCTGCTTCCTCCTAAATGGCCCTCACGGACACGTACCGCAGGGAGCACAATAAGACATCTCAGGCATCATCCGCCCAACCTCTCAGGGCAGGTGTGGAAACAGACGCCCAGAGAGGACAAGCCACTTTCCTAAAATCACACAGCAAGTGAAGGGGCCTCCATGTGATGCTCAGGTTGGTGGTCTTCCCATTACAAGGTGGTCTCAGCCTTCCCTCCCTCCAGAGTGGGGCTCACTCTCAGAAGTGAAAGAAAGAGAATCACAGGTGCCTCAGGGAGGATAGGTGAGTCCAGAATTGGTACTGGATATTTGTGAGATTCTCCCCTTTCCCGGAGAAGCGTGCATAAGTGGGGCAAAAGGTTAGGTATGTCCCCCAGCTGTCTCTACCTCTAAGGGTGGCAGGTAGCAGACTGTCCCTCAGAGCCTCACAGGTTCACCTGTGGCTTGTCCTGGTTAACTGAGCCTGGTCAGGGGCATCTGTCCTGTTGAGTGTGAATGCGCAGCAGGCCGGTGGGGGTGTGTGTGGCTGGTGAAGCTGCAGATACACACACATGCACACACACACCTGTGTCAGTCAGGACCCGTGCCAAGCCGTGACCGGGTCCAGGGGTCGGTACGTGCGCACTCCTGCTGCACTGTGTGTACACACCAAGTCCAGCGTGTTTGGGTATGGCGACGGGAGGATGCATCGTGGCCAGGGCCCCTTGTTCCCGCCCCCTCCCCCTATTAAATATCCACAAGACCATGTGCCTGTGGCAGGCCTAAGGTGTAAATGGGGTCTGGGGGCCAAGGGGTGGGCAGAAGAAGCCCCCGGGGGCTCCAGCTGGGTTTCCAAGCTCTGGGCAGCGGAGAAGCGTCCCTGGCTAGGAAGCCTCTGCGTAGATGCCCTCATTACATCACCGACATCCCCGCCACTGAGCCGGCCTCCCTTCTGAGAGGCGCATCTCTGAACGCCAAGCAGGACGAAGCGCCTTCCGGTCGGGCCGCAGAGCAGGCAGAGCCTCTCTTCTCCGCAGCGGCCGGCGGACCGAGCGGGGCCGGAGGGAGATTTCCAGACCCCACGCCCGGGGCAGCCGCTGGATGCGGGGAGGACGAGGGCCGCCGAGGGGCCCGGGGAAGGGCGCCGGCGGGCGAGGGGTTAAGTGTGTGATCAGCTGTCGCGCCGTCGTTCCGGATTCTCTTCCCTCGGTGCGGGGCTCTGTTTGATGTTGGAGTACGCCAGGGACTCCCCCTCCCACCGCTACACACGCGCGCACACGCGCGCACTCACACGCACACGCACCACTCTTTGCAGACCGGGCTCCGGTGGCTCCAAAGTGACGGGTGCCCGCTCCCCCGCTGCCCTCATCCCTTCTCTCGCGCACACAGCCTGCCGGGCCGTGTTCTCGCGCGCGCTCTCCCCAGCATCCCCGCCCGGGCAGGGGAGCACCGGACAGAGCCGCGCCGCTCGCGGTCCATGCCTCCCTCCTGAGGAGCGGCGCGAGGGGGAGGGGAGGGCCGAGGAGGAAGAGGAGGAGGAGGAGACCGAGAGGGCGCCCGGGAGGGAGGGCGCGCGCACACACCGAGGGACGCGCGGAGGGTGCGAGCCGCGCAGCGAGCGCAGAGCTGCCTCCGGCCGCCGGGCGCCCCCCTGCCGCCCCATGCTGTGCTCCATGGCGAACTCGGGCTGCCTCCTGCTGTCCAACTCCGGCAGCATGCTCCCGCACTCCGTGCCCTGCCCGCCCGCCTTCCTCTACCTCCAACAGGTAAGCTGCCCCCGGCCCGGCGCGGCCCCCCGCCCGGCGCACGTGCGCCCCGCGCCGCCGCCCACCCCGCGC